CAAAATGTGTTTTACTGAGAAAAAACAAGATTTGGTTTTTAAAAAGCCTTTTTCCAAAAGGTACATCTGGAAAAAGGGGGGTCGTCTTATAATCAGGGTCGTCTTATATTCGGGCCAATACGGTAAGTATTAAAAAGTCTTAAATGCCTTTTTCCAAGGTATTAAATTTTGTATCTTTTCATTATGTATATTTGTCCGAATAGTGGGGTTCTGTGTAGTTTATGGAATCCCGTAAGATTTGACGTATCAGGCCGCCGCTATCAATATGTGGGGTATTTAAATCCCTTTTTAATGAGCAGTCGCAGTTCACTTTCGATTTCAATTACAAAGATTACAAATACATCTTTTAAATATACTGTGTGAACTCAGAGAGCTTTATTTTCCCTACTCAATAAGTTTTGTCAGTTGTTTTGTTTATTGGTCTAATTCTTGTTTCTTGGGTAAAATGTATGGAAAGAGTCTTAAAAAAGGTCATAAAGGTATTAGATTTAACTCCGTGATTCCTGTATATACCCTGTTATATGAATTATCCCGTGAACTTATTCTCCCAAATGGCCTGGTTATGCGGAGCATTCGCAGCTTATATGAACGGAACGCCACTGGTATATAGGTATTTGTATGAAAAATACATTTAGTATAAATCCACAAACGCTATTGCTTAATCACAAAAAATACTGTAATTATATTCCATTACTCCTTCAATACATGTCTACATTAATAATGTAATAAAATGTGATATAAATATCCCACATTTCTGCCACAATACCATGGTGCAGTTAGTGTTACTACAGTAAATCCATGGTAAATGATGGCGATTTGTAGATTGAAAAGCCTTCTGACTGTATCGTTGTGCACAGCGTTTCTCCTGTTTGTCAACACGGTTTCATCTGGCTTTAAACTAGTTTAAATCACCGAGTTGTTTGTGTTCTTCGCTGAATCTCACAGCGCTGTTTGTGGTCGCGTGACCGAGACTCATCAGCGAGTAAACCATCTGCTCTAGTGAGCTCACGCTGTGCTGCCGTTTGAACTTTGAGCCGAGTGGATAAATGGTCCATGTGGCGCGGTTCAAATGAGTATACATTAGGGGTTGAACGACTTCTGATTTTTTTGAAGTCGACTTTTATGTGATGAAAGTTGAGTCGAAGTCGACTAGTCGCTGATGACGTCATTAATGAACAAATAAGTCTGGAGCTGTGACAAACACCTTGTGCACAACTATGGCATATGACACAGCGCTGCCCACATGGCTGTTGCTCCTATAACAGCTTTTTTTATCAGTTATTTTGTCTTTGATTATATCGAACATTTCTTAAACTCTTTTTATTGTTTTATCGAGGAAAATTATTTCTCTGCAGTTATCGTTTTATCACCTAGCCCTACCTCAAACTTTTCTTGTGTGAACCTTTTAGCATTTGTTTAATTGTGCAAATAAGCAATTCCCTGTTATCTCCATACAGCAGATGGAGGCCGGTGTGGAGGGCGCAGAAGCAATGAGTCTCGCAGCTCAAGACTCCGAAGCCCTCGCTTTGCCCCAGGAGCTGATGTCTGCAGAAGGACAGCAAACCACCCTCATGGTGACTGGACTGACCCCAGAGGAGCTGGCTGTGACCGCAGCGGCAGAGGCTGCAGCACAGGCTGCGGCTACAGAAGAAGCACAGGCCCTCGCCATCCAGGCTGTCCTACAGGCGGCTCAGCAGGCTGTGCTCAGTAAGTGTACGAGAGACTGCCATATGCTTTATGATGTATACAGTAGAGTTTGACTTCTCAGCATGACTTAAATTCCTGTCTCAGGTGCGGGAGACGCAGGTCAAGACGGGCAGCAATCCACCACCATCCCTATAATTTTGACCCAGCAGGAACTCGCTGCTCTGGTTCAGCAACAGCAGCAGCTCCAGGAGGCGCAGGCGGCCGCAGCCCAGCAGTTAAGTGCTGAAGCAGCCGCAGCTGCTCTGCCCACTGAAGGCTTGGCACCAGCAGACAGCCTCAATGACCCAGCATCTGAGAGCAATGGCCACGAGATGGGAGCCGTGGCCCGTCTCCTTCCACGTACTTCTGCAGAGAGTAAGAGATGTTTGTTTTTGTGTTTAAATGATTGTTTTTAATGGTGCAAACAAAAATTAGTGGTAACACACAGTACGGTCTCATTACACAAAAATGAAAATTTGCTGAAAATGTACTTACCTGCTGGCCATCCAAGCTGTTGATGAGTTTGTTTCTTCATCAGAACAGATTTGGATAAATGTAGCATTACATCACTTGCTCACCAATGGATCCTCTGCAGTGAATGGTTGCCGTCTCAATGAGAGTCCAAACAGCTGATCAAAACATCACAATAATCCACAAGTAATCCACACCACTCCAGTCCATTAATTAAAATTAACATCTTGTGAAGTGAAGAGCTGCATGCTTGTAGGAAGCAAATCCATCAAAATGTTTTAACTGAAATTTTTATCAGGCTAAAGTACACTAAAACAGGGGTCATACTGCTTTCTCCAGTGAAAAAGTCGCCTCAACTGAATCAGGAAAGGATTTGCACATATTCAAGCACCTTTTACAAGTGAACAGTCTCAAACAGTTCAAGAGAACAACTTTACAGTAAACTGTAAAGATGTTTTTTTTCTTTTCTTTTTTCACAAACTGCTTTTCCTTTCACAAGACATTAATTGATGGACTGGAGTGGTGTGGATTACTTGTGAATTATTGTGATGTTTTTATCAGCTGTTCAGACTCTCATTCTGATGGCACCCATTCACTGCAGAGGATCCATTGGTGCTAAATTTCCCCAAATCTGTTCTGAGAAAGAAGAAAAACACTTTTTGTACTTGGGTTGCGTGAGGGTGAGTACATTTTCAGCAAATTCATTTTTGGGGTGAATTATTTCTTTAAATTATGTAGTTAACTAACAAATGGAACCTTGTTGTAATGTGTTACCAAATTAGTTAAGTTGTTCTTTTTTTCTAATAATTTCGTTTCATGATCAAATTTTAGTGCATGCTAAAAATGCCTCTATTTTGCTGCAGCTCTAGCCCCATTAAGTACTTTTGCACCATCTCAGCCAATGGTGGTCGCCAGTCCTGCCAAGATGCAAGCTGCTACTGCTTTAGCTGAGGTGGCCAATGGGATTGAATCAGCAGCTGGGGTAAGTTTATTGTTGGTTATCGGTGCAGTAGTTCAAATCATGCACCATTTCAGATGTTGTTAACTTTGAGACTATTGTTCAACCACCTGTCTTTGTCATAGAAGCAAGAAGCTCCTCCAGCCATTGTTAAGCCACCAGTGAAGAAAGAGAATCAGTGGTTTGACGTTGGAATCGTTAAGGTTACAAACATGGTTGTCACGCACTATTATGTGCCAGCAGATGATTCAGTGGTTACTGATGTAAGTAATGATCATGTTGCTGTTTGTGTATTTTGCTGCAATTCAAGTAAAATGTCTTTTGGAATAGGAAGTGTTATTTAGGACTAATGAAATCAACTTTACTGGTCGATAGATATATTTTGCCAAGGCCAGTAAGTTTGACACTTTGGCTGATAAGATTTGGAAGCGGGATTTCATTTTGACAGTTATGAAAACTTCATTAGTTTGTTCTTTGTTTAACAGTTCTATTTAATAATAGAAAGACACTATAATATTTTCATGGAATGTCAGCATTTGACAAATGTGCATATATATCAAGTCTTTGAATATCTTGAACACCTAATAAACTGTTACTCATGTCATAATCACTGTGTACTGTATGTAAAATTAGTGCTACCTGGTCTTTTTTGAGAAAAAGATTCCCAGTGTGCTCAAACACAACAGATTTCTGATTGTACTGGTTACAACTTCTTTATTTATGAAAAATACTATAATAGGATTGATTACCAAATTAAAAACTTGCTATCTAAATTCTAACTTTGCTTTATTTTTTTAGGTTTTTTTTTTATCTTTAAATTTTCAAATTACTTCAGCTTCTTTAAATTACTTCATACTATCTTTAAATAGTGAGATATATTGTCTATCGGTCACCCTGCACTCTAAGATATCGGCATAAGATTTAACAAAAAAAAAAAATCCTTGTCAGCATCTGCATTTAAAAAAAAAAAAAAAGAGAGAGAGAGAAGAGAGAAAATCCATATCAGTCGACCACTAATCATCATTTTTGCTATGACATTGCAGGATGATTCTGGCGCAATCCCAGACTACAGCCGAATGAAGAAGATTGAGCTTTCTCCAGGCACTGCATATAAGTTTCGCGTGGCTGGTATCAACGCATGCGGCCGTGGGACTTTCTCTGAGGTTTCTGCGTTCAAGACCTGCTTACCTGGCTTCCCTGGAGCACCTTGTGCCATCAAAATCAGCAAGGTTGGTCAATGCAAATGGCTTGCGTTAGGTCTACATGTGGGTTAATCTTGGTCACTAAAATAGTTTTTCCTCTCCCATTAGAGCCCCGATGGTGCTCACCTGACCTGGGAGCCTCCTTCAGTTACGTCAGGGAAGATCATTGAGTATTCGGTTTATCTGGCCATCCAGAGCTCACAAACAGTCGAGGCTAAAGCGTCCACTCCGGCTCAGCTTGCCTTTATGCGGGTATACTGTGGGCCCAACCCGTCCTGCCTAGTGCAGTCATCTAGTCTCTCCAATGCCCACATCGACTACACCACTAAACCCGCCATCATCTTCCGCATCGCTGCCCGCAACGAGAAAGGATACGGCCCCGCAACACAAGTCAGGTGGCTACAAGGTGAGGACATTTTGTTGGATAGACCCTTTTCAGACTGTGGCAAATTATATTAAAATGTTTTTATATATATATACATGGGCGACATTTGACTCTTGAGTCAGACGTTGAGGGTATTTAGCGCTTGGCTAAGCGCTCCATTTGCAGTGGGGCGACATCAGGGATTCCATGACTAACAATTTGTTAGTCCAATGTTGCCCATATATAAGGGCAACATTGGGAAGGAATATAAGGGATGCTCCGATCAGGATTTTTGCAGCCGATACAGAGTACCGATTTCTTGTCATGGTGATCGACCGATGCCGATTCTAATGCTTCAAGCTTTATATAGACTGTTTCATCGGGCGCCTGGCCCGAAGTTAACTTCCGGTCTGTGTTTGTTTATCAGCCTGGCTATGGCTCCGACTACAAACGCAGTTAAAGTTAAGGTGATGAGTAGACTGAAGTTGGGCTCAGGTGGTTGTGCTGTGGCATGTGTTTCCCATACATTTATTTATTTGTGGCGCTCGCCACAATATCAAAACTGACGGATTTTCCAAAAGGCTTC